CGCTCCTGTTTGCAACCATGATGAAGTAATTCGGCAAGGTTTTTCGTAACCAATCGATGTAGATTATTAGACTTCCACTTATTCACCAAACGCTCTGAGTGACCAGATGGAAGAATAGCTGTGCAAAAAGCAGTCATGTGGCCACTTTTGCCCACGAATAGCTGCTCCCTCTGGTTGTAGGTTCCAATAACATAAGGTCTTGACGAATTGTGGAAAAAGGCCCCGTCATGAACTGTAGACATCATGATATCTTTTCAGTGCAACATCATAATACCTATTCAACACATTTGTGCTGTTCACTGGCCTCTTTCACCTAAAGGTTAATCATTTACTTGGAACGCCCTATTCTCTTTTTCCTACAAGTCTTTATAAGATGGATCATTCTCTATACCAGTTCTCATCCACAGGAAGGCTCGGGCACCAATAATCGGTATAAGGATACTTTTTTTAATCTTGCAAATCTTAAAGAGCCTTCATCATGCAGATTGAAGTTACTATGGCATGTTTGGTATAAATATATCCCAAAATTCTGTATGTATAACTCACTAATGAAATTCCAAATTTTTGAGCAGATATATTTATTTATATGATCTCATAAACTGATCTTAAGCTGACGCGAAATTGGTACAGATCTTCGTTGTCGTTGTTTTTGATGTTATTGAACGATGGCTGACGTTTCGGCGACTTCGCCTTCCTCGGAGCCTGGACGTACTTTATGTTAGAATACTTTTTATTATTCGGTGGAAAAGAAGGTTAAAGTATTAATGAAGACCAAACTTTCAAATAGACGCCATGTTGAACAGAAAGGCCACTCACCGTGATGTTACGTGCGGGACTGGCCCACACGTAGTTCACGCGAGCAAGACACGCCCCGGGGTCAAAATATCATTTTGAAATAGGGCGCCAGGCCACGCGTGATAGTGAGGCATTCGTCCTTCCGGTTCATCTTTAGATTTTTGAAATTAATCCAAAACGCCTCAAGAGTTTTGCGCGTTGATGTTTTCGATTCCTGCGCTAGGATCCGCGCATTCACTTCAAAATCGTCGCCGTTGTGCTTTTGTGTCCTATGCGTACCTAGAGGGGTGTTTAAACGGATTTTAGCTTTTCCATCTAGATGTTCTTTTATGCGGACACAAAGTGGTCTACCCGTTTCCCTGATATATTCCTCGCCGCATGCATTACACGAGATCAAGTATATTATACCTAAACTCATGCAATCCCCGTCTCTCCCGTTAGGACAGATCATACAGTTTTCTGCACAAACGATCATAGAGACGGTTTCGAACGAAACTTTTTGAGCAGAGTTTGACTGTAATTTCACCTCAAATTACTATGATGAACTGTGGTGGTCGTATAGAAAGGTCAGTTATAAAAAATAAACAAATCAACTGAAAATAAGCTGCGAGTATACCACGGACATTGCAGAGCTGGATGATGGATCATGGTGCTGTAATTCATAATAAGTATTAGTTGTTCAGATACTAATGAATGATTTCGAAATTTACCTTCGGAGTAGCACTTGTATTCTCTGTTCAGAGTAAAGCTTATTAATCGAGATAGGAACCACTAGAATCTACATCTCTTTCCAACATGAAGCAAGCTTGGGTACTCCATTTCCATAAACTGTGGAGATCCGGAGACGATAAAATCGCTGAAGGCAGTATTGGCCTTGGCTTTGTTTCTGAAGGATTTTTCAGAGAGGAATTTGCCAAATTACTTAAAGATATGCCGATAAAAATGTGAGCGGTCCGATTATTATGGGGGATGGGGCAGAGTTCTGTAGTTCAGCTCGTTCAACCTTTGCAGCGTCAGTGTTGCCAATTCGTAGTGTATTCATTTGTCGACCCTTCTAGAATTTCGGATCTCTCTCAGATCCTCCGAAACACATGGACATCGTAATAAAGATAAAGAGTTGCTGAGATATTTGCAAAACTCAGGACCGCAGGTGTCTGTGGTGGGAAACGAACGCGCTATTGTCCTTTCCGGGGAGTAACGCGTTCACCACCACACCATGTGGGTCCTTCGTTTCGCCTGTCTCTCAGCTATTTCTATCGCTTTTTTTATAATGAATTTATAACTTAAGAGAATATAACCTGGATTAATAGCGCAAAATCTCTTTCATTTCTCTTTTGTATTCTGAACATCTCAAGCTCTCTAGTTATCGAGAAATTACTGCCTGTTATCGAAAAACCAATATCGTTCACTGTACAGTGATTACAAATGGCGGACGAGTTATCCCAAGTACGTAACCAACATGAAGTTACGCATGCTTGAATACGACTGCCACGCAAAATAGCGTCAAAGATTTTGTGTCAAGTGTATATTAGAGGAAAGCACTATGCACCAGTGTGATGGATATCACTGATTCTTGCACTTCATCGCACGTGACACCAAGTCTTGGAAACCCATAGAAACTTTTCCGGGATCTTTCCAGTCAACGACAGTGAATTGCGAATACATCAGGAAAAGCATTCGAGCAGGCCTACGCATGAATTAGTGGAGAGGACCGTCGTGTGTTAGCAGGAACATCTGCACGCGGTCGGCTCCCGTCATGGGAAAAGGATGACCACCCAAACCCTACACTGGTAGCACTAAACGAAAGTGCTTTAGTGTCAGTAAACTAGGGAGCGTTGTGCATCAACAGATAAAGTACTCTCTGAAGAATCTGGAGATAGAGACGTGAGATGGATGCTTAGCTGAACTGGATACTGTCATCTGGCTGTACGGGGAAAGCAGCTGTTGGCTGGACACAATATCCATATGTTTGCATGTTCTTCTATGCCGCTGTGAAATCGCCAAAACCTGCTGTACTGGAAACTGTACCCGAACGGCTTATCGCAAATGTTCGAATAAATCTCATCCATTGCAGGCTGTGAGAGAAAGCCTCTCTCTTATACGATAATGCATGCCCGGATTTGGCTTTAATAGTTTCGTCTGAAGTTGAGGACTTTCTACTGGGAAATTTCTGCACATTCTGCTTATAGCATGGATTTCGCGCCTACCGAATCATTTTCAAGAGCTGGAAAATTATTTCCGTATCAAATATTACGAACTTCGATCGAGGTCTTATTTTATCTACCTGCACCTTCTTTCCGTGTTTTTCTCATATTCCCATCTGCTTGCACACGCGACAAATTGCAATTTTTTAGAGCTTTTTTCATTTAGATTTTTTTCATTTTTTCAGCACTTTTCCTTACAATATTGATGTACCTCAGGGATGCGCCATGCAATCGACTTCATTGAGAATCGTTGGAGGTGATTGAATGCATATCTGACCTCTACAACAACTCACGGTGGCCTACCAATGAATTGAGCTGGTGCTGCTACTCTTCCGGTACCAATTCACCCATCCCAGAGTCCCAGAGGCATGAAAAGGTTGTTGAGCCTGGGGCGGGATCTAACCCGTGTGTGGCAGAGCGCCTCTAACCACTGCGCTACACACGCCTCCTTCATTTGCTTAACAAGCAAAAGTTTATGACACATACTTTCTGTAGAGTTATAAAAGACGTAAAAACAAAAATCTTCCTGGCATTGATTTCATCTTCATTTGATCTCATCAGCGTACCAGCGTACCAATCATGACTGAAATTCCACAACCTATTTACCCCCAAAGAATTAGGTCATATGAAGTTTCAAGGAATCTAAGTCCACTTTTCCTTCCTTAAATAAAATGAGAAAAAACACAGAAATACAACTTTGCAGCCTCACTGAAGAATGGAATATAGGAAACTATCTGATGTCGCTGATATCAACATGCAGCTATCCCACAGCGTAGTCTCCAAAACTTTCCTTTTCTTGGTCATGTTCTAAGTCTTCGTAAATAGTCAACCGAACTACTACATATCTTATGTTGATTTCACCACGTACCCCTCTATTTAAATTACTGAAATAAAACCATTCCTATCTCAGTTTACTTCTAATTACATTCTCTAACATCTTTTCTTGTTACTTTGTATCGCTCCAATCAAAAGCTGATGTCCTCTTATGGATAAATCTATCAGCAACTGCCTACCATATACTGAACTGCTACTCTAATAATTTCTAATCATCTTGTGACGTCAGCATCCAACCTGGACCTATAAATGACATCATAACCCAGAAGCGGACACAATTCTCCGAATACTAACAAGTGTGATCTGAACCATAAGATTTACCACATGTAACAAAAGCGACACAAATGATGTAAGATTGCTCAGGAGATCTGAATGAATTACCCTGAATAAAAAGGGTGCACTTTAAGGCTAAACAGATAAAATGCACTGGTAGTATACCCACCTCAGGCTTCTCACCAACAAAAGAGGTATAAGTGTCCTAACTCGTTTAAAAACTCACTTTAGAACAGGAACTGTTTTTAAACACCTTCAACGAAAAAAGAAGAAGGAACATAACACAGTCACAAAACGATCACTTAGTCATTCAAAATTTATCTGGTGGTCCGTATATAAATAAAAATCTACACAATTTGTATTCTACAGTATCACAAATGACAAGGTGAATGACAAGATGACATTGGAAAAAGGCACAAAAGATGTGAAGAACAAGAGACTGAAATGACATAGATTATGCTTGTAAAAACCTTCTCCTATGCCATTCGAGTCCTCAAAAATTCGAAACTAAGAAACCGTACACGAAGTAAAAGCAATCAAAAATATCACCCTATCTAGCGAAAATGTGTCTTAACTCACATTTGGACCACAATATTTAGCTCCATAAACACACTCCATCATACAAAAGTCGCCTCTGGATGGTTTTTGGATTATCGAAATCGAAAGAAAAAAAAGTGTTAATGAAATTTCTGAAATAATGAAAGACCATCGAGTTCACAAGAACGAAAAAAACACGAAAATTTCACGATCCGACTACATATAAGTAATAGCAGCAAATATATTATTAGAAAGTTAAATTTTCAATAATAAATAGTGGTTATGGGCTATCTTCTAAAGCAGATTAAGGCAATGTTAGAGTTATAGTAAGTGTGACTGAAGAGAAATGGAGCCATCTCAGTGCTCTGGTAAGGGAGGTACTTCTGTTCCTTTGATCATTTTCTTTTTCTTAAAGATTTCTCGCGCTATCAATCGTTGGAGGCGACTCAAACGATCATGCACGCTTCCTATAACCTAAAAAACCTTAGATTAGCATATTAACAGAACGAATAAAATGTTAAATAGCTAGATGTGTAGAAACTACAATGGTTCATCGCCCCATAGTGGCTGAGAGATTCCCAGTCTCGTAGAAGAATCTCCTAAGCAGACATCCAGAAATTTACACCTACAAGTTATATGCAGAAGTTTGACCAATAATATTTCTTCTAATGTGCATATTTTGAAATACCTTGATTATCTTACCAAGTATAAGAGTTATAATAGCTCTAAGATTTACAACATGTAACAAAAGCAACATAAATGATGTAATAACTCGACGAAGCACAGAAATAAAGGATAAAGCTCTCAGCGTTGATCAATCTCTGAGGGATGTGCCATGCAGTCGACTTCATTAAGCATGGAGGTGACTGAATGCATATTTAGCCTTTACACTAACTCACGATGGCCCACCGATGTGTCGAGCCCGTGCTGCTATCCTCTTGGACTAGACCGCTACGAATTTGCCAACCCCGGAGGAATGGAGGACTTAGCAGGCCAGGGGCGCGGGGATCGATCACATGTGTACTGCAGGGCGCATCCGACCAATGCGTTACACGCGTGGAAGCGAAACTCTATAGAAAATTTATGATTTCATATCAAATTAATTTCACTAGCAAATGAAGAAGAAAATAAACATCCTGAAGACTTGTATATCGCATAATTTGAAGCGGAAAAACACTTGATAACGCTTACTTGATTCACGTTGTTTACTCGACGCCTTGAATCTTGCAACTTCCCGACGTACACTTGGATATCATAGGGTTCTTCATGATCATTGAGCTCGTGCAAGAACTGCAATCAGTCATTGATTTTTGAACGCTACGATGTATCAAGTGGATTCCTTTCCTTTCATACCATATTTTTCTAACAAAAATTTGCCAACCTCAGGCTTCGTTTACATAGAGCAATGCTGAGTGTGCAATGTTATACTTATACAGAAAGAAAGTTTACTTAGTTTGCGCATAGTTGTAATAATCACACGGTTAAAGTACAAAGCCTCATGTTCAAGTCTGATATAGAACTTGATATTAAAAGATTGTAAAAGATTCCTTTACTCAAAGAGAACTTGGACACTTGGCCGACCCATCTTCACTGGTCGTGCGGCCTCAGCATAATTTTCATTTTCCCGAGATCTACATGTTTTGCCATGGTGGTTCCTTATAGTTGTGGTCAGCCTAAACGAAGTCTTCCTCAAGTCGTCACCCACTGCACGAAGTCGCCCCACATGGTAGACCAAAGGGAGGTTGGCCATCACGGGACTAGTTTGCTACCAGGACGGTTGTGACTCCTGCTATTGGATTACTCTTAGCTGGGCGTCCTGATGGAACCGCCGGATTCATTCTTAGCATAGGAGGCCCTGCTGGGAGGGTGAATGCCTCCGCTGTACGTTGCAGGCCAACACCCAGGAACACTTCCCAGCCATGACGAGGCGCTAAACCGCATGGAGGTGCTCAAAGAGTTCGAGAAAAAACTAGGACAGCATGAAACATATACGGTAGTTAAAAATCATATCACTCACATCTGCCATCTCTTTGATTCTCACATTCAATTCGATTTGTGAAGCACGTGTTGCTCGTATTTGCTCCTCCAATCCTTCAATGAAAGACCCAATCGATGCGAACATTAGGTCTCCACTATCCAAGGCGACATCGCCACGACTAGTGGACGTCATCATTAAAAGGGATAAGATAGAGCACTGATCTGAAAAGACGCTTACGTAGAATCGAATGAAAATCACGCTCTGTATTAAGATAAGATCCAATACGTAAGGTGGCTCGGTCCTTTACTGAATCAAGGATAACTTGTAAGAAGGAAATGGGAAGTTACAGGTTATGAATTCTTGCAAACTACACATTGAAGCTCAATACATGAATACAGCGCAAATTCTTGACCAGCAATGGATGAGAAACATTAAAACATTAGTATCGTATGCGAAAAAGTTAAGGCAGCCTTTTACAGGAAAGAATTCCAGAAGGGTTGCTACTAATGTGCCAACGCAAAAGCACTTTTACATAGCGACGTAGAGATTAAGTGAGTCTCACCTAGTCCGAAAATTCCATTGTAATTGTTTTCTTCTTAAAAGACAACTAGCAAAAAAACAAACGATTTCAATTACGTCACCAGAAGAAGTAGGCGTTGAAGTAACGGATAAAAAATCCCACTAAAACACCTCAAGTGAAAGTGGTTGAAGCTAGGAAAACAAGTGAAGGATGTGTAGATGTACCTGAACAGTTTTCCTTAAGAAGTCAAGGGGTGGAAACAATCGGTTGCCAAGCTATTTCCCGTATTCAGGCTAGTTTTAAAGTGCAAAGTGGCAAGTGAAACATTACTAAACTTTGCTTTTCAAATAACCAATGAGGTGACTCCAAGCCTTCCCCATCCCGTAAAAGAAAATCGATGCTCAACAGGTTGTCCATGCAGACGATGTATAGAAATATAAGAAAAGAGAAAACAATAGCTCCTATGGAGAATGTTAGTATACGAATGACCACGCGAGCTCCTTAGGCTTCTGCTACGTGGTAGGTGGGTCGGCTATACTATTATTTTGAAATTCTCAACACATTTTTGACATCTCCAGCTTAAAATAGTACAAAGCTACTTTACTGTTAACTTAAGTAACTTTAGCGAGTAACGATAAAACATCTTTGTAAACCTCATGGACGTAAAACTATGGCAACGCTTACTCGCAGACCACTGAATTTCTAATACATGAAAGTCTCTGCAATTTCAGAACACACATTTAGTACGACGTCTAAATTGAAATAGACATTGGACCTGTGTCCGTCCGAAGGACGTTGATAGCTCCGATTTGAGTTATATGGTTATCTTTTAGGGTATCCGAATGAGAGCGCTCGATACGTCCATTGACTTTGAAAAAATAGGCATCCTAACCCACTCGAGTCTGTAAAGTATAATATGCCATAATACGCATAATACTTATTTCGATACTTAGATGGTCCGTGCTCACTGATTGTGCGGACTACAGCATAAATTCCATTTACTCGGAGTTTTGCTGGTTTAGCTATTCTCCCTGGAGTTATGGTATAAGCCTAGCCAAAGTCTGCCCCAGGTCGTCACCACCACAAGCAGTCGCCGCCGTTGTGGATCAGAGGGTGATATTTCACCATGCGCGTACTTTGATACCAGGACGGTGGTGGATCCTGGTACTGGTTCACTCTTAGCTGGACTTTATGATGGAAACGCCGCTAAAACGGATAGTCAGGAAACGGTAAAAATACGCGTGATAAGTAAGGATAATACGCTGTTATACGAGTGAAATCCTGGTGATCCACATTAATCATGAAATTTACCTTTACCGCCAGTATATGTTTAAATGAACAGGAATAAAGAGCATTAACCTCTTTGATAATCCGTCCAGATGTCTTGACAAAGAGTATTCCTGGATGTCGTGCTAAGATGTTGAGGCCTGGGTTCAGATTCTACAACCTCGTAAGCAGTTCAACATCTCAACTCAAAATGCCGGTTTGACGTAGAGCCGTTGCAGCATTCGTCTCTGTCCTGAACAAAGGTTACGTTGTCCTCTTTTTGCGTTCCGCAAAAGTTGGCCGCTGCCTTTTGGTGGTTTCTAAAATCACTATTATAAATCCAGAAAAGAATCCGCCAAAGTAATGGATTCGATCTCAGTTGTTTGGCCGTTATCAGCCATTCTATACGGTAGATATTCAATATAACCTCTGGTACGCGTGGTGAAGTCGAACCAATGGCGCATCTCTCAAGGCCGAAAGCTTTTTTCATCATTTAAGCGCACAATATTTGAAAGATCGAAGAATAAACTGTTTAGCGTTGATCAATTTTTATGGATGAACGTTGCATTCGAATTCATAAAACAATTTAAAGATGTTACTTAAGATTTAAGATTCAACACAAGAAAATTTAAAGATGGATGCATATCGGCCCTATACAAGGACTTGCCGCGGTCTACGGAGTTATCCTAGACTTTTATCTTTTCTCTTCTTACCTTTTCCTTCTTCTTCTTATCCTCCTAGACTGATTTACTAACCTGTGAATTTGTCCTTCCGGGTGTTGTGAAGAGATTAATTAGCCAGAGCACGGTGTCGAACCATGGATCATAGGTGTATAGCAGGACTATCTCAGGTTAGTCAACGCCATGAGCTCGGCCATTCACGAGTTGCATTCCAATAATGACTTTCTAGATTAGCAGTTAGTTCCCCAAATTTTATCTACAGATTAATTCCACAAATCCGAAAATGAACCGCAGGGAAGAATGCCTCATTATCACGCTTGATATTGGGCAATATATAAGCCTGTTATTCTGGTGGGAGGGGGACATTACGCTTCTATGTGAATTCTGTGCGGTTGGTCTTCACGCGACATACTCAGTGGAAGACCCATAGAAAGCGGTGAGTATGCGGAGCTGTGTTAAATGTGAATGAAATCCGCCGAAACGTCAGCTTATTCGTGAATAAAGAATAAAAATAACACCTCGCGTTTGCTCAACAAGAATAAGAAGAATTTATTTACAGACACGATTTTTGAACTGAGTAATGACTTATGCACTCAAATTTCCTCCGTCGAAACTGCGCAAGACATAAAAACGGAGTAAAGCTCACGATATTGAACAATCCTGGTGGATGCGCCATGCATTCGGCTTCATTAAGTGTCGTTGGAGGTGATTGGATGCATTTCTAGCCTTACAATGACTCGCGGTGCTCTACCGATGCATCGATTCAGTGCTGCTATCCCTCCAGATAAGTCTGGTACCAATTTGCTGACCCCGGAGGGATGGAAGCTTGCTGGGCCGTGGGCGCGGGAATCGGAATCGATTCCACGTGTGTGTCGCAGGGGCGCTTCCAACCACTGCGCCAAACCCGCCCTTCGTAAAACACAAACATTGAATAATCTTTGAATTGCAGCTCAATCTTTTTGAAAAGACTAATTTGTTAGAAAATTAACTGAAAAAGGTTTTCAAGCGCTTACATCCCAAATGTCGTCTATGGTGCTGATTTCGGCGAAGGTATTCCTCGTCGGTAGGGTCTTTGAAGTGAAAGACTAATGATCTTCGTGAAGTAGTAAGTCTGAACCGAAAAGTGAGCATGAGTGACTGAAATGCAACAAATATCGGTAAACGCCTTCTTAACCCTTAACGGAACGATTTAACACCCTTGAAATAAATATGTACATTTTCTTTTCAAAACGAGATGTTTCAACTTTATTTTATTGAAAGTATATTTAAAAAACATCGGGGAATAAAAAGCCTTAGAATTGTCCCCGAAAGTGAGAAGCAAGAGAGGTAAGCAAAGGAGCATTCTGGAATACCGTTGGAATCTGCTGGATGGAATCCTAGTGCTTGTCCAAAGTATCTTTTTATTTATTTATTTTTTAATTTGTTCTACCCGATTCGCCTTCCGCATCTACTGTTCGGATCCCAGCATCCGATTCGTTTTCCTCACATTCATCGCCCGCGAAGGTCTTCGAACTTTTGCATGTTGTTTGATCGATCGATGCTTGAGAATATTTCCGTCTTCCTCACAAATGTCGTTAAAAGCTGGTAGAGTCGATTCTCGCTAGAGTTCCGAGATAGCTGGGCTAGAACGCTCTCACTTGGATGGCAAAGACTCAATTTTTCCCAGACTTCTGCTCTCCAAATCAATTCCGTTTACGGGTGATTGTTGATACCTCCACCTATAAAACACAACTTAAAGGAAGATGAAACGAGGGACCACAGATGGTGTAGCGGTGATCGCGTTAGCCCCCAGGAAGGGTGATAACATATTCGAACAACACCGCAGACAACTAGGGTCCGAAGTTTTGCAAATGTCTCACCATCATCGTGTTTACTCCTTACTTTGTCTAACTTTTATTTGCTTCCTCTTATTATTTTTTACAACCACTGCCTATTACATACATCAGAACCAATGGATTTAGGAGACCAGCTAAATAGAGACAGGGGTTTTCCTATTTTGCCAAGAAGTCATTGCCACGCTACCACCATTAATGAGAAGGGATTTTCAAAAACTGAAATGAATGAGAAAGTTACCAGATTAAGTGGAAAACGACTCATTCAGTGACAAGAAAATGTTTTTCAAACCTCGGTCTGCTACGGGCGTTGTCACCTTGTTGAAAAGTGTTAGTGAAGCTGGGGTCTTTGCACTTTATCTCCATCTGCAAATGATTATCTATTCTAGAAGGAACTCTATAGCTTGCGCGCCAGAAAAATCTGACTTCAGTTCAGCCAAAAATTTACGCAGCTGTGTTCCTGCTAATTTTTTAGAGATATTGGTGTTACCACTGTAGTGGGAACATGTAAGAAATTACTCCTGCTATGAGAAACTCAAGTTGCAAAGCCAAAAAGCCCCTCGACAGCAAAGAGTTACTTGACGACTTTTATGCGGTGCTACCATGTTTGTCGACCCCCAACGATGCTAGGTACTAAATTTAGGTAGCTAAACCTTTTTTACATAATATCAGCACAATAACTAGCTAGTGAACAATGAATATACAGGCACGATAACGTATTTGATAGACAGATGCAATATGGATAGGAAACGGCGTTAACAATGCCTTAAAATATACTTCTACAATAAATTTGCGACATATGATGCATTGTCACATAAATATTGCTTATTCGGGTAATGAGGTCAGAAATCAAAGTCTGCCTCATGAAACAAAGACGGAAGAGTGAGATGGAGACGT